TTCCTGTTCTATTCTGAGTGTAGATAAAAATGATAAAGTGTTATTGTCTTATAGGAACTCTTCCACAATGAAAATTTTTATACCGTTTCTCTTATACATCAGTTGTCTGTTGGTGATTGAATTTATGAAGAGATTAGATTATCAAAGTTTATTTAGGTCTCTGAATTCTTGGCTATTTTCATGTTGTAGTGGATTTAGGCCTAGCTTGCTGCTGCCCCATTCGCTAGTCTCCACCTGAGAGCTAGGTGAGAAATAAATTTAAAGAGAAATAGGAGGAATATAGCAAACTCCAGCTTGGAAAGAGTGCCATAACAACAGATGCAGTAGACATCCATTACTATGAGATCTGTCCCTCTCTTTAGTTCTTTTTTGTGCCATATTTAAGCTGCCCTTCTTTCTCCGTGCTCTCCTGATGGCAAGACATTTACTCTATAGTACTCATTCATTAGCTGATAAACTGTGCAAACCCTTCTAAAGACTTTCTGTTCTTATACCTTAAGTGGTTGTGTGTTTCAGGATAGACAAATGTCCATCCAGCTTCTTTTCTCCCACACACTTGGTTCTACAAAAGAAAAAAAATCATCTAGATGATTCCTTCTGCCTCATGATTTGATAATGGAACTCAAGTTTTATGTCTCTCACTCCATTTGATGACTACCCTCCAGGCTATCTTATCCAGAAGAACAAGCTCTGTCAAATATCATTTAAGGACATTTTGCTGCTTATAAATTAATTAATTTGATAGATTTTACAACTACCATAAGAATAAAATGATAAAGATTTCTTCAGTCATAAAATCACAAAGACAATAAGGGAAGTGGTCCAGTGTGGTGGTACATGTCTGTAATTCCAGAACTCAGGAGGCCAAGGCAGGGAGATCATGAATTCAAGGCCAGTCTGAGCTTTATAGATAAACCTTGTCTAAAAAAAAAGATTATGAGAAGAAAGAGATGATAGCGATAAGATTTTGAAGTCCTGCAAATCAGAATGGCAAGTGTGGATCATCTATCCACCTTAAAAACTAAATCCTAAGCCAGCAGTGGGTAGCTGGCAGCAATTCTATTTGAACCCTAAAACCCTCGAAAAGTTTGATAGTTGGTGGTATCAGGTACCATTAGTGAAAGTAAAAGTAAAATAAGAGGACCAGCTGAAAGTTTCTGTAAGAAACTTCTACACTCTCCTCTAACTGCTCCCAGAAAGGTAACTGCCTTTTCCCCCCTCAGCAGAAGACTTAATTACTTACTCTCTGGAGGGAATAAACAGGTGGTCTCTGGACTGTTGGGCTCCTAGATTCTTGACACAAGTGAGGGCCTCAAGTCTGAACTAAAAACAAAGGGAATAAGTGAAACTTTGCATATTGAATGTTGAAACCTCCAGGTTCCTTCTCTAACTCAGGTCTCAGAACACTTATCTTGTACCTTTCGGGCTGGAGTTTTGAAGACTCATCCATAGTAAATCTGAGAAAAACACTGAAATGAATCAGTCCAGTCATACCTCCCTATCCTGAAGCCCTAGTTGGCAAGTTCTACCCCATATGCCAGAGCTCCAAGTAACACAGTATCCCAGTCTTATATACGAGCAAACAGCCAAGCATTGTCAGACAGACTAGAAAGTCAAAATGCAAAATTCTCATCAGTCCAAACAGAGCAAGTTGGAACCAGAAACTATGCAAAGAGATTGTAAACCTGCCTTTCTGAAAGAATGAATGAATGAATGAGTGACTCAGTTGAGAGAAGGTATTGTATCCTTAAAAGAAAGAATGATATATGATTTAAAAAGAACCCTTGAAGCCACCTGTAATCCCAGCACTTGGGGGACTGGGGCAGGTGGATTGACAGTTTGAGGCCAGCCAGGGCTACATAGTGAGACCCTGTCTCAAAAAAGAAAACACACAACAAACAGAAAAAGAACCCTTGGAAATTAAACATATTATAGCAAAAATGAAAAACTTAACAGAGGGTATGGAAAATAAAATGTATGTCACTGCCCAAAAAATAGATATTGGGGGAAAAAAAGTCTATGGGAAATGAGAGAAAAGTAAAAAATAAAACAAACAAACAAACAAACAAAAATCCTCAGGGTACAGCCTAAAAATTTTTCATTTGAATAATAGTCTAGAAGAGAGAACCAAAAACATGAAGAGAAGAAAATCATCAAAACAATTGAGAAATGCCAGGTGTGGTTGTGCATGCCTGTAATCTTGGCACTCAGAAGGCTGAAGTAGGAGGATCTCCAGTTTGAGGCCTTTTTTCTTAAACCCAGGCATGAGCATCAAATGCTTGTAATTGCAGCTACTCTGAAGGTGAGGCAGGAGGATGGAGAGTTCCAGGGTAGTTGGGTAGTTGGGGGTGTGGCTCAAGTGGTAGTGCACTTTGGGAGAGAGAGAGAGAGAAATCAAAAGGTCCAGTAGGGTAGCAACTGAAGGCACATCATTAGTGATATTTTGGAACACCAAGAAGATGCTAAAAGTTGCAGAGAGGAAACTAAGAAACAGGTCACATTAAGGATGAGGAATTATGATGGCAACAATAGAAGCTAGACAATGGAACAATGTCTTCAGATTCTGAAAGATTATTTTATCTTATAGTTCTATGATTAGCAAAATCCCACAAGTAAAGATAGAATAAGGATTTTGTGATATGTAAGATCTGGTACAATGTACTTCCAAGTGTCCTTTTCCAGGAACCCAGCATAAGAGGTGCCTCACTAAATGAAGGCAGTATACCAACAAAGAGGAAGGCTAGTCCAATTTAAGCTAGGTGGAGAATCTGCAGGTAGAAACGTGGGCCCCACCATGTCCACTACTCAGCAGACCTAGAGCTCAAACAACTAGAAGACGGAGATAGGCACAGGAGATTTTGTGTGTGTAAGCATAGGGCATTTTTGAAGGAAGCTCAAGAAACTGTTAACAGTGGTTACCTTGCAAATAAAAATGGCAGAGCAGAAAAGGGACAATTTTTTCCAATTATATTCTTAGGTAATATTTGCATCTTCACCATAGCATATATAACTTTTCTGTCTTTTTTTAAGGAAAGGAAATATGCCTCAGTAGAAATGCTTAATCCTTAGGGAATGACAACAGAATTTTCCTTCTGTTCAGAACCTGGGAAGGAATTTTGCTAGGAAATCTTTAAATCCTCTAGCCAACCTTCCCCGGTAATTGTAGGCTTGTACTTTCTCCTGTAGCAAAGAGCTCGGAGGAGTGTCTTTTAGGGAAGGAGGGCCTGAGCTCCCAGAAAATAAGCTCTCGCTGCCTTTCAGCAGTGGCCTTGCCATAATGTAGGGCAAAGGAAGTTTCATTTTGGATGTCTGGGCTGCAGCAGTCCTTGTTTTGCAAGAGCTTTCTCATACGAGCATTCTCTTTTCCAGGGTCTTGATTACCGATAATTAATCTCAGATGAAAGATTCAGCACTACAGGCTTCCTCTGTCTTTGACCTAAGAGAACATGCTGTGAATAGTTTGTTTGTTTGCTTGCCAGAGATCTTATCTTGAGCCATCTGAGCTGATGGGATCATAAAATCAACATTGATCTTTCCTCAGTATCCCTTTTTCTGCAAAATGGGGGATTCCCAGACAAAAGGGAGATTTAACCTATGTCATTGGGGGAGGTTGGTTGTCATTTAGTAATGGCTATATTTAATAGTAATAAAATCTAAATAACTTTTTAGTGTGTCCTAATCCCCCTGCTTTCTTTGCTCTTTCTCAATGTATTTGGATAAATCACTATGGAGCAATCGAGCCAAATGTCCAAACCACCCACTTTCCTATTCCCAGCACATGAATTAGAGGGAGGCCAGCTGAAATCTGGGCCAGGCTCTTAGATGACTTGTATGTCTGATTTTTGTTCCACAATCTGAAACTCAAAATAAATCAAAAAGGAGCAATTTTCCAAATACCAGCTAATTCAAAAAAAAATCTCCAGCTCTTTTTAGTCTTTGCATACACGCAAAGCTAATAAACAAAACCTACTCTGAATACAGGACTTCGAAATTAATTCCTATAAGCACAAACCATAGTCATGTGCAGTAGGCTTTTGGAACTCCTGAGTTCAGTTTTAGGTTCTAAACCTGGAGTAAAGGCTGGAGAAAGGGAAGGACTTGAAAGCAAGGTTCTGAGAGACAGAATTTGGGCTTAGAAAATAGTGTGATCAAAAAGAAATGTGTGAACAGCAAACAAGGATAGAACAAGGAGGTGGTGTGTGTGACAGGAGGCAGTTTGATTGAGATGTTAAGAACAGACTTTCTGACAGTAAAGACTGAACACTGAGAAAAGGTTATAAAGCTCAAGTTCAAAGATAATGGAAACTGTAAATAAGTTCATTTTGTACATGGGCCAGGGTCCTTGGAGTACAGATGTTTACAGATTCAGATGTTGAACCATAAATCTCATACTCTAAGAAATTGGCAGGGAAATGAAACCATTCATCAGGAACCTGGCATCTCTGCCCAGCCATGGCACCTTACGTTTGGTTCATTCACCAGAAAAGCAACGCATGCTGTTTAGAAACAGCACCTGGCCCCAGCATGGAGGACTGTAAAAGGTGGGGAACAGGGCTGAGGGTTCTAGAACAGAGAAATCTTTTTCAGGTTCTTGTTACCAGGTCTACAAAATTTTTAGGAAGAGGTTGGGGGAACACCTGGAGAACACATCTAAAAATGAACAGAGGTAATTATAAGAATGGAGGCTCTTTATAGGAAGAGGAAATTGGTTTGTATAATTAAATGTATCCCAAAATTACCATGTCTTTATCATATACATTCCTGTAAAGGAAAAATAACATCTTCTCTTGCCAGATACACACAGAGTCTTTTCTATTTATAAAAGAACATCATCAATTACAAGGACTGCCATCACACTAAATGACTGGCAAACCCAGGACAAATCCTAAGCTTTCTTCTTCTGGAAGAATGGTTCTGTGCCACCCTTCTATCAGTATGGAAGACTGTTTTCTCACCTCATCTTCTGTTTTAACTGCTAACCTTTCTCTGTTGTCCTGCAGTTGGGATGAAAGCAGCTCCATCAGTAGTGGGCTCAGTGATGCCTCAGACAACCTCAGCTCAGAAGAGTTCAATGCCAGCTCCTCGCTCAACTCCCTCCCAACCACTCCCACTGCTTCTCGCAGGAACTCTACAATAGTGGTACGTGAGTGTGCAGACACCAAGGCCACCACGTCAAGATGAGCCACAAGAGAAATAACTGGGTGATGCCTGTGTGTGCACTTGCACATACACACCCATTCCATGGAATTGCTTCTCATAGGCTTTTGGCCAAGCAGTCACCAACATAGTACATGTTGTCATGGAGTCTATATTTTGTGGTCACATCTATCTGGAGAGATACATGTAAGAACTATTCCAACTGAGAGAGAGAGAGAGAGATTGAGAGAGAGAGAGGGAGAGAGAAACCCAGAGAAAAAGAAAGAGCTTCTCTTGGGAACCCTAGGGTTGTAGATACAAACCTGGGTTGACTTGCTACTCTGGGACAATCAGGACCACCTACTCAGAAAATATATGCCCTCACCTGGCCATTTCTCCATCCCCATGTGAGTATCTCACTCTGCCTTTTGCTCTTCTTCTCTTTAGCTGCGCACAGACTCAGAGAAGCGCTCTCTGGCAGAAAGTGGGCTGAGCTGGTTTAGTGAATCAGAGGAGAAAACCCCCAAAAAACTGGAGTACGACAGTGGTAGCCTGAAGATGGAGCCTGGGACTTCTAAGTGGCGAAGAGAGAGGCCTGAGAGCTGTGATGAGTCATCCAAGAGTGGAGAATTGAAAAAGCCCATCAGCCTAGGACACCCAGGGTCCCTGAAGAAGGGCAAGACCCCACCGGTGGCTGTCACTTCCCCCATCACTCATACAGCCCAGAGTGCCCTCAAAGTAGCAGGTGAGCCTCAAATAAAGGGATGAGGGCAAAGGCCTATTTCTTTGGTTGTTCTTCTTAATGGTCATTAACCCATAGAATAATAAACATTTGTATATTGCTTTTTTATCTGATCTTTAGGACAGTCCTCTAAGTTAGGAAAGATGGGTATTAGTATCTCCATTTTTCAAATGTGGGAACAAACTCATAGAGGTTAAGTGACTGGGATAACATCACACAGCTGATATGAGGTAGAAGAGGGCTGGGTGCAGTGGCTCAAGCCAGTAATCCTAGTTCCTTAAGAGGTGGAGATCAGGTGGAGGATCACTGTTTGAGGCCAGCCCAGGGAAGGTTTGCAAGACCCCACCTCAACCAATGGTTGGGCACAGGTGGTGAACACCTGCCATCCCAGCTACATGTGCAAGCAAAAATAAGAGGATCGCGGTCCAGTTTGGCCCAGGCATAGAGTGAGACCCTGTCTCAAAAATAACCAATAGAAAAAGGGTTGGCAGAGTGGCTCAAGTGGTAGAGTGCCTGTCTAGCAAGTGCAAGAAGGTCTTGAGTCCAAACCCTAATATTGAAAAAAAAAAAAGGGGGGGTGGGGGAAGAGAGTATGTTCTGGTCAAAGACTAGTTTCGACTTCCCTTCAAACACTTCTTTATTGGGTTCTTTCTTTCCTCTCCCAAGACATCTATTCTGTGTACTTATCTTCATAAGATGCTTGACATCAAGAGAATTATAGTGCTCCCAGAGTTGGCCCCTTGGTCACTTTTAGCCTCAATCAGTATTTCCCCCTGTCTCTAATTACTAATAGATACTGCCTTACTCATTCCCCTCCTTGACCAGTTATTACACCTACTTCCTTCTTGATCATCTTTGTGGTTGCCACTGCCATTTTAACCAAACCAAACCCTTCTCCTCCAGGAGCAAAAAAAAAAAGTCTACCCCCCCTCACTTTGACAGTGTTCTCTTCTCCTCCAGAGAGGAAGAAAAAGATTTCTAAGGTGTTGGTCAGTGTCAGCTCTTCTTATCTCATTTCCTGCCCTCCTGTAGGAAAACCTGAAGGCAAAGCTACAGACAAAGGTAAGCTGGCAGTGAAGAACACTGGGTTACAGCGCTCCTCTTCTGACGCCGGCCGGGATCGCCTGAGTGATGCTAAGAAGCCCCCATCGGGCATCGCTCGCCCCTCCACTTCAGGATCCTTTGGCTACAAGAAGCCTCCTCCTGCCACAGGCACAGCCACTGTCATGCAGACTGGTGGCTCAGCCACTCTCAGCAAGATCCAGAAGTCCTCAGGCATCCCTGTCAAGCCAGTAAATGGACGCAAGACTAGTTTAGATGTGTCCAATAGTGCAGAGCCCGGATTCCTGGCTCCTGGAGCCCGTTCCAACATCCAGTATCGCAGCCTGCCCAGGCCAGCCAAGTCCAGTTCTATGAGCGTGACCGGTGGGCGGGGTGGACCTCGCCCTGTTAGCAGCAGCATTGACCCCAGTCTCCTCAGCACCAAGCAGGGAGGCCTTACACCCTCCAGACTGAAGGAGCCTTCCAAGGTTGCCAGTGGGCGAACCACTCCAGCTCCTGTCAATCAAACAGACCGGGAAAAGGAAAAGGCCAAAGCCAAAGCAGTGGCCTTGGACTCAGACAACATCTCCTTAAAGAGCATTGGCTCCCCAGAAAGCACTCCCAAGAACCAAGCAAGCCACACCCCTGCCACCAAATTAGCAGAGCTGCCACCAACCCCTCTCAGGTACCTAACTGGACAGTCCTCTTTGTCTATTTTGTCATTCTTTTGCATATCCCCCCTTCCCTTAAACTAGGTGTGGCATGGCCTATCCACTGTTGCCTCTAGGCCTTTTAGTGGATCTTTCCCGTCCCCTGTCCTGTATGCCAAGTCTCTTCTCCCCTTTCAAAACTATATTCAAAACTCATTTTGTTTATATTCCCTGTCAATACTTGATCCATCATTAGCACTTGTATGGATGGTTTTACCATATTTACTTACACATGTATATGTATCATCTCCCTTATTAAGACTGAAGGTGTTCTAAGCCAGATATCAGATCTCCTCCCTACTGATTTCTCAGCAGCATTAGTTCAAGCCTCTGTACTTAGCAAACGCCAGAAGACAAGGAGACTAAATATTTTATTTTACCTTTACTTCTCTCAGGGCCACAGCTAAGAGCTTTGTGAAGCCACCCTCACTAGCCAATCTAGACAAGGTCAACTCCAACAGTCTGGATCTACCATCATCCAGTGACACTCATGCCTCAAAGGTCCCAGATCTGCATGCTACAAGCTCAGCAACTGGGGGCCCCCTCCCGTCTTGCTTCACTCCCAGTCCAGCTCCCATCCTCAATATTAACTCAGCCAGCTTCTCCCAGGGCCTGGAGCTAATGAGTGGCTTCAGTGTCCCAAAGGAGACCCGCATGTACCCCAAACTCTCAAGCCTGCACAGGAGCATGGAGTCCCTTCAGATGCCCATGAGCCTGCCCAATGTCTTCTCCAGCAGTTCTCCCATCCCCACCCCCCCTGCTGCCCCTGCTGCCCCCTCAGAAGAAGAGACAGAAGAGCTGACCTGGAGTGGAAGCCCCAGGACTGGACAATTGGACAGGTAGGTGGGTGCAGACAGAGCTGAACTTGAACCTGAGACTATGTCCATATCTTTGGCTTGTTTGGCCATTAGCAATAGTGTCCTATATTTGATTGCTACTTTGTGACTTTTAAATTTTTTCCCATATTTTAAGTAAGCTCATTTGTTTCACAACAACTCCATGAGACAGGTTGGGTGGTTTTGTTTTCCTCTCATATATGGAAACCAGTGCATAAAAAATCAAGTGACTTCTCTAAGAACTCATAATTCATTTTACCTATCACCCAAAGCTTTTGCTTCTTGGTCCAAAATAATTTTTATTTTATCATGTTCTTGTCTTTACCTACTATAATCTGATCTTTTAAATAGCTAACTACATCTTAACTCCTAACTTGAGAAAAACATTTAACATTTCAGATAAATTCCCCAAGTGTAAGCTACAACCTTAGTTGTGACAGTCTTCCTATTTTGTTTATAGAGATAAAGGATCTCATAGTTTAATGTCCTAAGTCCAGAGTCTGCATTCTTCAAGACTATGGTCCCAAACTCTAGTTTCTAAAATAGATCCACATCTCTCTCTCCTCTCTCTCTTTCTTTTGTCTCCTCAGTAATCAGCGGGATCGGAACACCCTTCCCAAGAAAGGGCTCAGGTAACCCTTAAGTGTGTTTTTTCTTTCCTCTACCTGGGGCTCCTGGTCTGTATGAAAATTCCCAACCCATCCATCCCAAACCTCATGCATGAATTGATTGAGTGGCCAGTGGCCCTTTTATCTGAGAGTCCTGCCCAAGTGTAACATCCTTTGAGTCAGCTTTTCCAGCAAGTGGATTTCTTTGGTGACAGGTGAGAAACGAGTTTGCACATGGGAATCAGATGCTTACCTGTACCAGCCTGTGCTATCCGCATCCTGGCTGAACTTCCTCTGTGTAATTTTCCTCCTTTACAGTGTGCTTCTGGGGCCACTCAGATGGGCAAGGGATAGGACATTCCAGGTTCCTCCATTGTTAAGACAGCACTAAGTTGTTCAGTTGGGTGGAGACTGCTGTGGTCTGAAAACCCACACATGGAGTCATTAAGGTCTGTCCTGAATCTTGGGGAAGAGGTTCTAAGGCCTCCTTCATCCTTTCTGCTCCTGCCCTCAAGGAGCTCTCATGACAGTACTTGCTGGTCCTTCAGCATAGTCTAAAAGGTCTGGGGGTGGATACTGAGTCACCATCTCCTGATCCTACCCTGACTGTAGCCCCTTTTCCTTGTCCCCCTTTCAGAATCTCCTACTCCAACCTAGCTCAGACATTCCCACACACGACCAAGCCTCTGTGTCATCTCATAGTGGCCCAGACTGAGTTCTTCCGCTGTCTCTACAGGTACCAGCTTCAGCCCCAGGAGGAGATCAAGGAGAGACGGCACTCCCACACCATCGGTGGGCTGCCAGAATCAGACGACCAGGCAGAGCTGCCCTCCCCCCCTGCACTGTCCATGTCTTTGAGCGCAAAGGGCCAGCTTACCAACATAGGTCAGTGTTTCTGATCACTCTGTGGCATGGGAGGAAGCAGGGGTTATGATGCAGGGTGAAGCAACGCAGCTGGGCTTGGAGTTTCATTTGGTATTTGACTCACACTCTGTATTGGGTTGTTTCATGGTGCCTCAGTTTATCCACCCAAACTAGGATTGAGGCAAAGTGTCCCAAGGTCTAAAATGAAAATTGCTCTTGGACACATGTTGTAGGGTCCTTACAGTATCAGAGTCTGAATGATGGCATGAAAAGGCCATAAACTGAAGCCCAGAGATTAAACCAGTACAGTGACCAGGCACACTGAGCTGCCAAAAAGGAGCCACCATGCCCAGCACTGGGGGACCAGCCGGTAAGGACAATCCTAACGGATCAGACTGGTAGAGAACAAGCAAGGAAAGGTTGTTGACTGAGAAGGGTGGACCTGTCTCTACATCCAGAAAAGTCCAGATCCCCCCAAATGCTCTGGGTGAGCCAGGGCCATCCTGTCCCTAAAGGCAGAGGTGACTAAGACATGTCCTGGTCACACCCTCTGTAAAGCCTGGGAAGGAGGGAAAGCTGACAAAGAAGGAAGTGGCTCAATGACTCAGAGACAGGGAGGGGAAGAAGCCTCGGGTGAAGGGCCTGGCTGAACAGACCCACACCAACCCTGGTTTGGGGAAGCACTGTGCCAAGATTGGCCTAATAAGAACCGCTTTAGCACAGGACCTGGGATAGGCCTGTTGTTTGTTTCCTGTTTCTCTCTAAATCTGTCTCTTTTTTCCAACTGAGTGAAAGATAGCAGTAAATGTAGGACAAGGACCTATGACATGCCTGTGTAGTGACTGTGGGAATTTGAGGAAAGACTAGGAATCAGGGTCATTTGTGCTTTAAGGCAGGGTCATCTGGCCTCTAAAGCCTATTGAATTTAGGATGGGGCCAACTTGTTTTCCATCTCCAATGAGGACCAAACAAGAAAGGCATTTGTGCTGCAGGAGGGACTGGGCTATACGATAATCAACTTATGGATTGAGGCAGAGGTATGAAATCTTTTGCACAGGTCTTTGCAGACAGGTTAGATATGCACATCCACATGCCTGTGTGGAGGCAAAAGAATCAACAGGGGAACTTCATGAGGGCATGAGCCCTGAAAGGCTGTCATCCCAGCAAGGGGCAAAAGGGAAGGGTTTTGTAGGTTGGTAAATCAGCAGAGCCCAGCTCCAAAGCAGATTCCATAGCCTAACCTGACACTTTTTATTGCTCAGGTGGTCTGACTTTCAAGCCAGGGAAATGCTAGGTAGAGAGGGACATATTTCTTGATGCTTTAGAGCTGACCTAAAGTGACCTAGAGTGACACAGCTTTGCAGAAGAACTGACTCCTTCCCATAGTGCTGTGCCCTTTGGATCCCATGGCCTAGCCTCCTTCTCTGTTGGTTTGTTTTCATCATTCAGACCTGAGTCTTGGTCTGAATTCTCAATCTTCCCAAGCTGCCTATTGTGTTTTAGAGAACCACAACATCCCAAACTCATCCCAGGCACATCGTAGTGATGTGAAGGTTTCGGAAAAGCTGCCAGGCCCCCAGCCTAACCTTCAAAAGCTACACCTCTGAGGCAGGCAGGGTGGAGGGAAGGCCCTTATTCCAGACAGCAGGGTCCTTCCCCACTAGGGCTTGACATCCCCAAGAGCGACCCCGCTCCTAACTGCCAGCTGCTTGCACACTCCCACCACCCCACCTGTCCCTTCCTCTCCCACCCTCTTCCTATCGCCTCCCACGCTCCTGGTACTCCATCCCCCAAAGGACCAGTGAGCTGATGACCCTGCCTCTTCTCCTACCTCCCCCTCCCTCTCCTGTCCCCCTTCCCTCTGTCCTTCCAGTGAGTCCCACTGCGGCCACCACGCCAAGAATCACCCGCTCCAACAGCATCCCCACCCACGAGGCGGCCTTCGAGCTGTACAGCGGCTCCCAAACGGGGAGCACCCTGTCCCTGGCTGAGAGACCCAAGGGAATGATACGGTCAGGATCCTTCCGAGACCCCACGGACGATGGTGAGACTTCATGCCAGCGCGGCTCACGCTCATTCCAGCTCTGCTGGGCCCCTCCCCCACCACCCCACCACTGCCACCACCACACACACACACATGATTCACAAGACATTGACTCGACTCGGGCCATTTCAGCTCGCTCTTCCCATACCTTTGAAGGGTCTGGGGGCCCAGAAACCTTGGGTGGCACCATCTAGCACTGGCGTTTGGGATGGAGCATCTCTCATGGGGGCTGGGGAGGGAAGCTGAGATTGGAAGGGTTCAGCAGTACTCCTCTGGATGCTCTGAAAACCAGAACTTTTGTCCTCATTCTAGCCATAGCCTTTCCTGCCCAAAGTCTCTCAGAGTGTTAAAAAAGATGCAGGGACATCATGCTGGCTCTTCAGTCCTTACAAGGAACTAGGCATCTCGTTCCTCTTGCCAGAATGTTTCAAAGATTAGCTTCTGGGAGGGCCATCTAAATAGTGATGGTGATCTGGGTGTTCATGTTGGTGGAGACTGGAAGATCAGGCCATGGGGTCCAGTAGGCTTCCTGTTACTGTTCTCAGGATGCTCATTTTAGAAAGCATTAATTGCAGACATGCTTTAGTTCTTGCTATAGGCGCTATTGAATAATCAGAACATGTTTTCCCCCATTTAAATACTTTTTTTTATCTCAACGGTCCCCAGGCTCCCCGGCAAGCCCCCCAGTGTTGAGCAGAGGAGGCATAGACAGCACTGGAGTATTGTTCTGAGCAACTCTAATGAGAAACTCCCCCCCTCTGCAGCTAAAAGTACTTTCCTGACTGGGAAGACGAAATGGCAACTATCCATGAAAATTTCCTTTCCCTCTCCCTGGACCCCTGCGCCCCTCGGAGCAGCCTGAGCAAGGGACCACCTGGATCCAGACCTGGGCTGCCAGATTATGTAGATGACAAGGGAGGCTGTCTCTACTCGGAACCATCTTCTTGGACACTTGCTGCTTTGGGCTGTTGGGATACCAGTTGGGTGCCCTGTGTCACTCTTTCTGTTTACTCCAGATGCCCTCCAGAATCAGAACACGAGCTCCTGTCTTAGGGATCTTCCCAGGAAGCCTTGGACTCTGGACCTCCTTCTAACACCCTGTGTTTCTCTTCTCTTTCAGTTCATGGTTCGGTGCTGTCCCTGGCCTCCAGTGCCTCCTCCACTTACTCCTCAGTAAGAACATGAACTCCCCTTCCTCCCTCATTTCCAAAAACCTACCATTCCATTCTCACTCCCTGGGACCTCCTTTGGTTGGGTAACTGGGGGGGTGAGGAGGAGGGCGAGGGAGAGCACTGCCATCTCTACATTACACCCGATAGATCTGGGAAGAGATAGGGAAGGTTCCTAGAGCTTGGAGCATTCATTTAGGTGCCTCACAACCTCAGTGGTCTTTCTGGCCTCACCACTAATTCCTGAGCAACTCTGGTGCTTTTTGTTTCCCTCCTTTGAAAAATGGAGGAGCTCCTCATTACAGAGAACTTATTCTGCCATGCTAAGTGGGAAGCATTTATGGCAAGGTGAGATGGTAGGTTTCTAAGCTTCTAGAATCCCAATAATGTACAGTGTTGACTGAATGTTTATTGCAGGGTACCACATACAGAAGGTGTGGTATCCTTTTAGGTATCCTTTGAGTCTTCAGTTTGCTTTGCCCTCCAATTCTTACCCCTTCAAGTTGCTAGGATTCATTTCAGCCCAACCAGTTTCATTTGCTAGCCTTGTTGGCAGCCAGAAAGTAGACCAGAGATAAGCACCAGAGAAATCTCTTATTTAAACCCTAGTGTAGGTCTGAGCCAAGTCCCATGAAGATCCAGGGAGAGGAAACAGTCTCTCTGCACCTCTGAATCATGCTTTCTTCATCTCTCCCTGCCACTTGGGCCTGCCTTCTTTGCCTCCATAGTAACCACCTGCTCTCTCTCTCTCTCTCTCTCTCTCTCTCTCTCCTTCTGTGCTCCCTTCTTCAGGCTGAGGAGAGGATGCAATCTGAGGTAGGGTGCAAAGCCTTGGTCTCTGCTTGTTAACACCACTGCACCCCATTTTCCTTCCAAGTCTTCTACTTCTGCCACCAGTAATTTGTCTTTTTCTTTCATAGCAAATCCGGAAGCTTCGTAGGGAACTGGAATCATCCCAGGAAAAAGTGGCCACCTTGACATCTCAGCTTTCTGCCAATGTGAGTGCCTGATATAGGGAAAGACCAGGGCCATTATTTTGATCACAGTTAGATAATTTCAGGCAAAAAAGGAAAGTTATCTAACAAAGTGTACCCTGGGCTTAGACTACAAGGGAGTGGGTCTTCTTCACCGCTGCTCTGCAAGGGAGGATTGAGGATTGTCCTTCACCTCCTCTGAGCCTTTATAAAGAACTGTGCATGGTAGTGTGTGCCTGTAATCCCAGCACTTGCAAGGTGGAGGCAGGAAGATCTCAAATTTGAGGCCAGCGTAGGCTATATAACAAGACCCTGTCTCAAAAACAAAACAACAACAAAAAAACACACTTTTGCCTGCATCCTAATTAATAGGCATGGGTGAGTTGGTGTCTGGTGGTTTTTGACCTTCCTAGAGAGAGAAAAGATGATTGTCAGTGGTTCCACAGGGATGCAGAAACAACCTTGCCATTGGCCATGGACAAAATAGTTATGGATTATACTTACCGAGCCCTTAGAACCCTTTCCCATTGCCCGAGGGTGTGCTCATGTCTTTGTTCATGCCACATAAGTGGGCAGGCACAGAATAGGTCATTAGAATTCTGTCTAGTGACCGTGGCACACTTAGAAACCTAGCTCTCATTCTGGCTAACTTGGTTTGCAAGTGACCCTACCTAGTATTCTCCCTGGGCAGCTGGCAGAAACAGTGTGAGCTTGCAGTTGGGAGCCAGCATTCTTTGTTTCTGCCCTCAGCCTGCCCTCAGGAGATCCATCTAGGATGAGTTAGTGCCTTTCTTTAAGCCTTAGTTTTTCTGCACTGTGAGATGGGGAGAAATGAAGCCACCTTGTCTTAACTAGGTTGTGGTGGTTTCTCCCTTGTGACTGAGTTGCAAACAGAACCTAAGAGCCATTGTCCTCCAGTGCTGTAAACAACAGCTGAGCCGGATCCACAGGAGCTTGGCAAGTGTGTGCGCAAAAGTAACCATGTTTGCAATTTCCGCAGTAGTTTCTGGTTTTCTCTCTTCCCTTCCTCTCTGGGGAATCCAGCTGTCTGTCCTTGGGAATCAGGTAGAAACTACAAAATCTCTATCAAATTTTGAGTGTTTCCAGTGTATTTCCTCAGCAGCTCCCTCACCACATTGATTATTGTCTATATTCTCTCTTCCCAAACCCCCAAGTCATAAGTTTATTCTTACTGATTTGTTTGAAGCTCATATCAAGTTCTTTTTTCCACTCTTGGAGACCCATAAGAATTGTAACATAAACAAGAATCATATGCCACACCCATCATGGCCAGTGGCCTGGGTCATGTCCTGCACACCCCAGGAAATTCATGTCTGAGAGATGCTGGGGGAGAGAGGCGCCAGGGAGGCAGAGAACATTATTCTATCTGATTCATTTACACGGCAATCTGTCAGCCATCATGCTGTCAAGGCTGGTGTAGGGCCAAGAAAATGAATTTAGAGGGTGATTTTTCTTAGAACAGGAAGTTCCATTTGGCTAGGAGAGAACATGCTAAACACCCAGACATGGTACATTCTCAATCTAGATGCAGATTTTTGCCAAGGGCCAGAGCCCTACCCTCAAGTAGGAGATGTGGTGCCAGGACTCTGGGAAGGTCCCACAGCATCCCACAGGATGTCCTGATGTGGACAAAACTTTGGCCCTGTTGCATGGAACATCTAAGCTGCAAGCTAAGGACACACCCTGGACAGGGAAGGGCCTGGGCCACTTTACCCCTGCCAATGCTAGCCTCTCTACTGTAGCATACTAGCCCTGTGATCCTCCAGGCATCCTAGTATGAAGATGGAATTAAGCGAAGGCTCAGGATATGGGATGGAAATATGGCAGAGAGGAAAGCCCGGTCCCCCAGATGAGGAGAGGCTGACACAGAAAAGCACACAGGAGGTCAGGATTCTTTGGGGTTCATGAGTAAATTTCTAGGACTATGAGCTGCCTGTCTACAGATGTACACAGGGATGGAGGAAAGCAAATGAAAAGACCTGAGGGCAAAAAGACAGAAGGTAAAAGAAAACTGCTCAGGTCATGACATGTGTTGCTAGAGAGCCCAGGCCTTGACGGATTTATAGTAAAAGTGGAAGGGGAGAATGACATGGCACCAAGAGATGGCCTCCAGTCGTGGTCCCACACCAGAAGGCTCCAGGCAGGTTTCAAGGGCACTGGTCTGTGTGAAAGGCCACCACAGAATATGTCCATTGCTTTTTTTTTTTTTAAGTATGGGGTTTGAACTTGGGGTCTCCCACTTATTAGGCAGGTGTTCTACCTCTTGAACCACACCCCTAGCCCCTTTTTTCTTTAGTTATTTTTTTCAGATAGGGTCTCACTAACTTTTTGCCAGGTCTGGCCTCAAACTGTGATGCTTTCCATCTCTGCCTCCTGAGTAGCCAGGATTTCAGGCCTGAGCTACTGAACCTTGCCTGTGTCTATTGCTTCTGGCCAGACTCATCTACTTGCTGGGATTCCCTCACAGATGGCTGTTTCTCCAGCCTTGTGTGTTCGCTTTTCTGGTTCCATGCTTCACTCCCTTGACCATTCCTATGCATCTTGCTGCCACTTGGCCACCTAGAGTTCAGACCACCCGCCACATGGTCTTCTCCAGCCTGCTCTCCAGAGGGCCCTGTGGGATCTAGACCACCTCAAGAAGCTGACCTGACCCCTAGTGGCCAATCTATGGAATGCCCCTGAAGTTTCTTAAGCTACTTTCCACCTATCCTGCAAAGTGGAGCCTGAAGAAACCAGGAAGAAGATGCAGCTCCAAAGCCAGAAGGAACTGAAAATGGAAAGAGATCCACTCTGGGAGCAGAGGTGGAAGATATGAGCGAAAAGATCCTGCCTGGAGGTTATTTGGTCCTATGGGGGCCAGCCCACTACGCAGAGGAGGATGAAACCAAAAACTGTAGGACCCACCCCAAAAGCTATGGCCTTCCCAGTAAGCCTGCTACCCACATACCTCAGACCAGAGAGACTGTCTCTCCTGTGATAGATGACAAAAACCAGACCTCAAATCTCTAAGAGCCTCCAAAAGCCTGCCCTATGTTGTCTTTGTTCTTCAGGAAGCTGGTTTCCATCAGAAAATCTCTTTGCTCTCCTTGTCTTCTCAGGGGAATCAATACTTTAAAACCATCAAGAGAGTCAGCTCTGAGATACAGAAAATCTGTTAAAGCTACTGCCCATTGCAGTCATATTTTCCCTCAGCCTCATGCAACTTAAAGTCCTCCTTATGTGTTTGTTTCAGGCTAATCTAGTAGCTGCTTTCGAGCAGAGCCTGGTGAATATGACATCCCGCCTACGACACCTGGCAGAGACAGCCGAGGAGAAGGTGAGAAACCTGGAAAGGGGAGTTCTAGACGTAGGCCAGGGCTACCGGCCTCACTAGTGGAAGTTTCTCCTGCACTTATTGTCACCCTGATTCTCCATACAGTGTTAGTCCCCTGCCCTTCTCTTATCAAGACTGGTAGAATTCCAGGGCCTGCCCCATTGTCTGGTTCATTGGAAGTGCTCCTACCACCCTGACCTAGAGATAGAGACATTATTTTCATTTCTCTCTTAGGACACTGAGCTGCTGGATTTGCGAGAAACTATAGACTTTCTAAAGAAAAAGAACTCAGAGGCCCAGGCAGTCATCCAGGGAGCCCTGAATGCTTCAGAAGCCACACCCAAAGGTAGGATGTCCAGCCATGGGTTAAGGAGAACAGGGGTGGAGTAAAAGAAAGGTGACTGCAGGTTTTTATCTGGACTCACAGTATGTCACCTTTCATGTCAAACTTCTAGAAGTTGAGGGCCCCTAGGTACCCTACAGTGTGATGTCTAAGCTGGTCATTGAGGAGTACCGGGGCATGACCCCATTATCCCAGGGGAGGAGGGCAAGAAGAGGGGACCTCTTCTTGAGGAGCCAATGTCTGTTGGTCTTACTTGATCCTCACCTCACTTCTCCAAAAGGGATGCAGTCTGCTCTTCAAATGAGACAGCCGAAGACAGAAAGGTCACATGGAGCTTACATGGCAAGTTGACTTTGGCATTTAGCAAGCAGTCAAGCTTTGCTATAGTCAGGCAAGATGAGTGGTGGTATGAGGCCACAAAAATCTGTGGCCTAGTGACTGGAAATATAGCTCAGTGGTAGGGAACTTGCCTAGTGTACACAACCCTGCTTCTGTCCCCAGCACCACACACACACACGACCTGCACCTCTACCTACAGTCAAGCCCTCAGGAAGCTTGGCAATCCTCTTACTTGTCCATGATTTTCTTTTTTATTCCCCTAGCAGCAGTTCCCAGCTTCTAAGCTCCACATACTCACTCTGAACGTAGCCCTTGTCACTTTAGTAGAGAAAAAACATCGTCAAGTGAGCCTCCATTGACTACTACCCCATTCCATGTACTTATTTTCATCCCATCCTCACCTACTACTTTTCTCCCATTTTGTTGGAAGGAGCTATCCCTTCTGGTCAAGAGTGATCCCTTAACCTTATGCTTTGGGGCTCCCCATAGCAGTTACTCTCCTACACATAAGCTTTGTTTCCTCTCTGACCTCTTAATCTCTGTTCCTTCTCCCGTGCTTATAAACCTACTGAAAGCTCTTGTGTCTTAAAGAGGGAAAAACGTGTATCCACCTTTGTCCTTTCTAACTGTAACCTTCTATCTTTTCCTTCTGCACAGTTGACCTTCCTTTCCATCTCCCTTTCATACTTAACACCACTAAAATTATGCTTCTGTCACCAACACTCTACCAAAACTACTTTCACTAAAGTCAACAGTGGCCCCATTTTTCCAAAATCCAACTTAGAATTTTTAGTACTTATTTTACTTGACTTCCGTAATATGGAGATAATAATATGCAACCAGAAGTTGTTCTATAACTGAGAGAATGTATGTTAATACTTGCTAAGGAGCCAAATAAAAGATGCTCAAAAAAATGCTCTCCCTAAAATCCCATGCATATAATCCCAGCACCAGAAAGGCTAAAACAGGAGGATTTTGAGTTTGAGGCCAGCCTGAGCTATATAGACCTTGTCTCAAAGAAAAAGAAATACTACTCCTACTCTCTCTCTCTCTCTCTCTCTCTCTCTCTCTCTCTCTCTCTTTCCTGCTGTCTGAATCTGTTCCTTCACAGAACCTTCGAAGTACTGGGACTCCCCAAGGCACCACCCTCAAACTTTTTTTCCTACCATTTCTTGGTATCTATCCTGTAGCTTCCATAACCTTTCTTTTTTTGTTTTTTTTGTTGTTGTTTTAAATTGAGATGTAATTCATATAATGTAAAATTGGCCAATTTAAAGTATACAACTCAGGGCCTGGTAGAGTGGCTCAAGTGGTAGAGTTCAAGCCCCAGTACCACCACAAAGAAATAAAGAAATAAAAAGAAATATGCTTTTTGAATATGCTTTTTAGCATATTCAAAAGGTTTTGCAGGGGTTGGGGGGATGGAGTTCAGTGGTAGAGCATTTGCCAACCATGTGTGAAGCCCTGGGTTCAATTCCCAGCACTGCACAAGAAAGGGTTGCACAATCATCACCACTATCTTTTTTTTTTTTTTTTTGCAGTACTGGAGTTTGAACTCAGAACCTACACCTTGAGCCACTACACCAGCCCCCTTTTTTTTTTTTTTTTTGTGAAGGGATTTTTTTTTTTTTTTTTTTTGAGAAAGGGTCTTGCAAACTATTTGCCCAGAGCTGGCTTCGAACCATAGTCCTCCTGATTTCTGCTTCCTGAGTAGCTAGGATTATAGGTGTAAGCCCCCAGGGCCCAGCTCTCACCACTATCTTAATTCCAGAACATTTTCATCACATCAAAAAGAAATCCCCTTCCCTTCAGCAGTCACTCCCCACTCCCATTTCCTCCCATCTTCTGGCAACCACTAATCTATTTCCTGCCTCTGTAGATTGGCCATTCTGAACATTTAGTGTAAATGGAACTATATAATAGATGGGTCTTTTGTGATTGGCTTCTTTCACTTCGTAAAATGTTTCCAAGTTCATGTATCATTACCAGTACATCATTTTGTTTATCCGCTCATCCATCAAATGACGGACATTCAGTTGTTTATGTTTTGTTCATTGGGAATAATGTGGCTGTGAACATTGATGTACAAGCTTTTGTGGATCCCTTGGGTATACACCTTCAAGTAACACTGCTCTATGGCAGACTTCGTGACAAGCTGCCAAGCTGTTCTCTAAAGTAACTGCACCATTTCACATTCCTACTAGCAATGCATGAGGACTAATTTCTTTATGTCCTTGACAACTTTTACTATTTTTTGTTTTATTTTGTTTTGCTCTTAAGACAGGATCTTGCTTTGTTGCCTCAATCTCTTGATCCTTCTACCTCAGTCTCCCAGTGCTGGGATTATGCCTGGTTCCAGGTTGTTGGTCATTTATTGCTGAGCTTTCAGAGTTCTTTTTGAGCTGGGCATGGTGGCTCATACCTGTAATCCCAGCTACTTGGGAGATAGAGATTAGGAGGATCACAGTTCAAGGCCAGCTCCAGCAAAAAGTTAGCAAGACCTCATCTCAACAAACAAGCAGGAAATTGAAAGCCATGACCTTTACCCAACAAGCCAACCCTTTCCCATCTGCAGTTTTGCCCATGTCAAGTATTGTCCAAGTCACTGAGATGACTCTTGCTTGCCCCTCACTGTTTTGCACTGTGCAGTAAATTACTTCGTACTTCTCTGTAGATCTCAGTTGTTTTTCTGTCTCTCTTATCACTTCCCTGGCTCAGGTTTTTACCATTTCTCTCCTGGATTGTTGCAATAACTTGCTAGCTGGTCTTGCCCAGCTCCTTTCCTTACTTTATTTACACTACCCTGCAGAGTAATTCAGCTATGTCAGTTAAGATCAGAAAGCATTCCAATTTGAATGTGAACTAGAGATTAGGTGGGAAAAAAAGTCACTGTTCATTTTCTTTGTGATAATATTGTAGAGAAATGCCCCTATTTGTTGAAGATGCATCCTCAGGTAGTGGTAAAATGCCATTTTTAAATTGAGAAGTGTGCACACATGTGTACATGAGAGAGAGAATACAACAAAATATTAGCAGTTATTTAATTAGGTATAGGGTGTCTGGGTGTTCCTTGTACTATGCTTTAAGCTTTCTGTGTGTTTGAAACACTCCAGGAAAGTAAGTGAAAGGGCGAAAATACATTTAAAACCTTTACCCTGGCATACAGTACTCTTCTCTCTAACCCCATCTTCCATCACTTCTCTTGCTCACTGGATTCCACATATAGTTACGGCCAGTCTTTATTAAGTGCTAATCATTTCCTGGTCACCTTTCTAAGCATTTTACAGGTATATGTAGTTGATATTCTTTTATTCCAGAAATTAACCCAGTGAAGTTTATTTTGTGGATGCAGAGAATAAGATCAGAGAAAACAGTTTGCTAAATCCACTCATCCATGAGAGAGCTGGAATAGTCAGCTGTTTCTAATTTCCCAAGAACACTTTGCTCTTTGCATATGAATTTTCATGCTAACCTCAGTTTGCATTGACACAGGCACAACTTGGTCAGGAGGATTTCTAGGAACTTTCTAAGATTTAATGCTTAAGTAATGATGCCTACCTTTATTTGTAAATAGGTAATAAGTTTACATGGCATCAAATTCAAAGTGCACAAAAGATTTCTTAACTTTCCAAAGATTTATCATTCTACATTTATCTTTTGCTCTTAAAAGTACTCTATACAGAATGTTTTATTTAGTTGATAGACTCACAACTAATTGAAACCTCCAAGTAATTGAAATCTCCAAGAAATAGACAAATGCACACACTCATTTTGCCACCTTTTCTTTTTTTCTTTCCATGCTGGGAATGAAATTCAGTGCCTTGCCTATACATGTCACATAAGTGCTCTGAGTCACATCCCTAGCCCTTGTTTTTTTGAGACAGGGTCTAACTAGGTAGCTCAGATTCTCCTTAAACTTTCTATGTAGACTAGAGTGGCCTCCAATTGAAGATCCTCCAAGATGACAGGTGTTTACTGCCACGCTTGTCTCATTTTGTCACCAGTTAACTAATTTCAATGAAACTGAGTATTATCATAAAAGCAATACATATTCTGAGGTGAAATGTGAACTAGGGGTAGGCAAACCATAGCTCATTAGCCAAATCTGGCTCACCACTTGTTTTCATATAAAGTTTTAGTGCCACACATCCATGATCATTAATTTACATATCATCTATGTCTGCTCTAGTGCCGCAGCAGTGCTGAGTAGTGACACAGACCATATTGCCACAAAGCCCCAAATATTTACTTCGTGGTCTTTTGCAATAAAACTTTGACAAGGCGGGTGTGGTGGTGCATATCTGTAATCCCAGCACTCAGGAAGAAGAAGTAGGAGGATTGTGGGTTCAAGGCCAGCCTGGGCAACAAAGGGAAACCCTGTCTTAAAAATAAATAAAAATTTGCCAGCTCCAAAGGTAAATTTTGCAAAGTATATATGTTGAACTATAAAACTCTTCCCTAAATCAGTCCTGTAAGTACTGCTTAGAGTTCTTGTGAGTCTTCCAGAAATAATTATTCATGTACAGACAAACATGTCTTTTTTCATATCTGTGAAAATTTATTTCCTTCAACTCAGTGTATTCTCTTGAGAATTTTTCCACATTTTTTAAAAGAACCAAATGCTTTGTGTTGCCATTAACTTGGCTGATGATCAGTGAACAAAGAGCTTTCTGAGTACTGTATGTGTGCTGGTAGCTCCAACAACAGATCCTAGGGTCCTGTTTTCCTTGTAGCATCACTGTGGTCTAAAGATCCATTGCTGGGACTGGAGTGTAGCCCAATGATAGAGCATGGGGGTCGATCCCCAGCACTGAAAGAAAAGAACAACAACACAACAGGAAGAGGTCCATTTATGGTCATGGAGGGAGGGAGAAAATAACCAGATACAATCTGTGTCTCTTCCACTTAACAGCTTTTGTTTCTAAAACTATGCAAATAGTCACCTACCTAAGTCCCCTACTTCTAGTGTAATTTTCTGCTTCATCTTTCTCATTATTGTCTTTTGACATGGGACTGTAGTTATGCAATGGGTTAAGATTGGAGAAGACCAGGTGAAAAGTGCATAGACCTCTCTGTACATTTCTTTGCAAACTTCCTGTGAATCTGTCATTATTTTGAAATAAAAAGGGTTGTAAACATAGAAAGGGTTGTTATGCCCTTGCTTCAGAGTGTCTGCAGCCCATTACATAGAGCACAAAGGCAAATTTTTTTTAAAGGCAATTCAGGGGTCCCCTAACCCATCCTGAGCCTAATCTCCACACTTACCTCCTCCTGTGCCTCCACAGGTGCCCTATGCTGCTTCTCCAGACTGCCATGGTTCCTTCCAGCACAGTGCCTTTGAACTTTTTCTTCAGCCTCAAATTCTTTTTCTGGTGTTCCCACCTGAAGCACCTCTGTTCTTTCTATACTCAACCTCTTCTCCTTTGCTAATCCTTGCATTCCCTGTTTTAGAAGACTGGGTCATTGTTGTTTTGGCGCTAATGGCTCATGCCTGTGATCCTAGCTATTTGGGAGACTTAAAACGTGAGGATCATGGTTCAAAGCCAGCCCAGAGTTGATGAGACCCTATCTTGGAAAAACCCAACATAAAAACAAGGCTGGTGGAGTGACTCAAAGTAGTAGAGCACCTGCCTAGCAAGTGCTCTACTTGCTTGCCTTCAAACCCCAGTGCCACCACCACCAAAATAAACAAATAAATAAAAGAGTGGATGATTTTATATGCCATCACAAACCTCAGACAATTGAGATTTTCTGCCCATCAGATGAGAAAACGGAAGCCCATTCAGGTTAAATGCAGGGCACATGGCTACTTCCATTTGGCTTTGGACCACGAGGCAGCCAAATATTGCTGGAGAAACTATGAATTATGGTAGAGTGGTGCCTGCATAAAAGTGTAGAGGGTCAGCTTTAGATAAGTCTTTCTCAGACCTATTCAAGCCATGCCACTTCTGTTTCTCCTACTAGACTGAGAACTTCATGAGAACAGAAATTATTTATTTTTCACCTTTAGCATTTTCTATGTTGAAACTTGATTGGCACCACTTAAATGTTTGTGGAATGAATAACTTTTAAAAATGAATAATGTGTACCTAGAAGTTGGTTAGCTCACTTCCCTCTTATTTTCTGCAGATAGACTTGCCTTAATTCTCATGTCTTCTCTAAATCTATCTCTGTGTTCTTCCCACCTATACTTGGCCCCTAGAACTCCGGATTAAGAGACAGAACTCCTCAGATAGCATCTCAAGCCTCAACAGCATCACCAGCCATTCCAGCATTGGCAGCAGCAAGGATGCTGATGCCAAAAAGAAGAAGAAAAAGAGTTGGGTAGGTAAAGGTTTGTGGGTGGAACTATCTGTGGTGGACTACCTCCACCTCAGCATAGGGATTGGACCCTTTCTGGATGGATCAAGAGGTATTTTCTTCTAGTACTAAGCCTCAGTTTGATGTCTGCTTGGAGCAAGGTCTGCTCACTTCTCCTGTTTTCCAGACCACTGCTCTGCAGCCTTTACACACATCTGCTTTCCTAAGTTCTCCATTCTGATTGGGTCAAATGTATTTGATCACAGAAGGAGCTGAGGAAATAACCAGAAGGCTGTTCCTCTTCTCCCTCCACACTGGCCCATCCCTTTACTATAGAGAGATTTTATGATCAGACACATTCATTCTGTATGTTCCTGGGGTCGTTCCTTCAATTTAGAGAGGTATTTGTGGAGCTTCCCAAATTACTTCAAAAGTTCTCTTTATATTACCATTGGCTGGTCTAGAAGTATTTTTACCTGTGTCTCATCCGTCCCCAACCCTAAACTGACCTTGGATGCCATTTCTGAAATCCTTTAGGCAGGTCTAGGACACTCTCAGCTCCTCTGACTGGGGAAGGGAGAGCATCGCCAGAGGGAGACTTGCTGCTCATCTGTCCCTGTTCAGGAGACTAACCCACAGACCTTTGTGTAATGCAGATAGGAGCCAGCTGTGTGAAATGAGTGATTAAGTGTTGCTTCTTTTTTCTCCCCCCTCCCCCTTCAAAATGCTGACTTCAAATCCCTATTCTTTTCCAGGTCTATGAGGTAAGAGACCCGGTTCCTATCCCCTTACTTTCTCTTCCCTTTGCCATACCTTTCCTATACCAGAGCAATCCCTCAACCTAAAAAAAAAAAAAAAAAAAAGAACAGCCACTCATAACACTAACTGTACTGACTGCCCCAGAATTCCTAACTCCCTCCACTGCATGGTCCATCCACGGCTGCTCCACAGAAGGACAGAGGAGAGGTCTGGTTGTGGGCCAAGTGGGAAAGTCCAACAAAATCCTATTGGTGCCCGTTACAAAATTGGCCTGTTACAAAATTCAGTCAAATCAAGCCCTTCCTATCCAGAAAACAGGCCTTTTTATTTTTGTTCCATTAAACCTAGAAGCCCACAGTGAAAAAGAATCCCTTGGTGAAGGTCATCTGGACCACAATTTCCAGAGACCCATTCAGTTTGAGCTGAAGATTTAACCCCAGGGTAGGATGAACCAGAAGTCGGTAAAGGGATAAGATCCAGTCTAGGGCACATTCAGGTCATCCCAAAACCTAAAACTTTCACGGCATCGATGGAGCTTCTAAGGGTACTTCTAGTTTAAGGCAAATTGAAAGTGAACCCAGAATTTCTGATGAAATATGGATATCTGAAGTTCACGCTAACCCTATCCCAACATTGTGCTTGCTGTTGTGAAGGATATGAACAATTGAATCCATTATCTCCATCTTTAAGGAACCTATAGTATTGCTAAAAAATCAAAAAATATATTGCAAATATAAAATTAATGACAATCCAACGGTGCCAAAATGCTTATTCAGGCGGTAAGTGCTAAAGCAGTTCACAGATGAGAGAGATTGGGATTACATTGTGGGGGAGGAGACATCACAAAGGAGGTAGAAGTTAAACTCATGTGGTTCTGGGATAAGTAGCCAGGAATATAATGAAATGAGTTCTATGTAGACACCGTCGGTCAGTCAGAAGGGAAGCAGTGAGACAAGGAGACCAACTTTTTACTAGAGCCCTGAGCAGGAAGCACAGGGCACAGATTGGAAGGTGTGGTGATCATTTAAACTTACTTCTTAGATTAGCATTTCCCCTAGTGTGTTCCACAGATCACCTTGAAAAGGATACCATCATCAGATAAATTTGAGAAACACTAAATTTCTGCTGCATACATCTGTGCAGGAGGAGTTCTGAGATCCCCAGCAAAGAATCCTGCTTTGTGTTGCTTGCTTCATTGTTTCCTGAACTCATTTAACCATGGAACTATTGGCCACATAACACCAAACATCTGATCTGCCAGCAGTTCTGTCGGAATACTGAGTATACATAGAACACTTAGAATCTTAAGGAGCTCAGAGGGCTTATGCACCAGGCACATTATGGTTACAGGATTTCTTTCTGCATACACACAGAGACATAAACACACACACAGCTTCCCATGAGTGGTGTAGAGAAAACTTCACTGGATTAAAAATGAGAAAGTCTGAATTCTAGCCCCAGGTATTCTTTCAATTAAACAAGGTCAAGCAAGTCCACTCTGGCCTTTTCAGCCTCAATAGAGATCTCAGCTTTATGGTACTTCTGGGCTCTGGTTACTCAATGACAAGTCCCCTGGAACCAGCCAGCTGCATATGTGCTTTCTCACTAATATCCTCCCACAGGCAGATTGGTCCTCCTTTATGTTTTGCCTAGTAGAAACCCCAACACACACCACCCACTAGCTCCATGCATCACCCAACAGACTTTGTGTGCTTTAGGATAGACACTTAGAAATCTCAGATTTTCCCTTTTCTCTCACTGTCCCCAAGATCTGCTCTGCCTTTTTCCCCTGTAGCCTTCAACCGCTCCTTTACTCTCTGTCTCTTGCTGCCATTCCATGTCTGTGTCCCTGAGTGTGCATGCTGTATGGATGCATGTGGATGGGTGTGGGGACAGGCCCCTGGTTGGCATCTTTAGCTCACATCCCTTACACCCAAGCTCATCAACACTAAGATCAAATAACTATGCTCAGATTGTAATGCCCCAAGTTGTCTAAAGAAATGCTGGGAAATACCCTTTATTCTAAGACATTCGACATAGTAAAAAGTGCTTATGTCTAGATTGTTTTAACCATTCTGTGTGTGCTGAGCACATACAACACAACACTTGGTACTTGGTACCACTTCCTTCTCCTGATCTCCACAGAACCCTGTTGTCAGTTTCTGGTTGATTTGTGAAGAGATGAATAGATTCTGGGCTGATGAGCCCAGGTCAGAGGTGACATCCTGATACCCAAAGTGAACAAGGTTCTAGACTGATTAGTTATTGATCTGCTGGAGGAGGTGGGATTGGGTTGTTGAGAGGTATACCGCATGACCTCTCGGGAGTTCTCTGTCCTCGTCAGAGACACAGTTCACCCCATGGGAGAGAGAAAAGATTAGACTTAGTTACAAGTAAATCTCCTGCCTCCACATCTCTGTCCCAATCCCAAACGCAGTCCTCCTCATCCTCAGAGTGGAGCCCTGACATCTCTGGATCTGGATCTGCTCTTTTCTAGCTTCGAAGTTCCTTCAACAAAGCCTTCAGTATAAAAAAGGGACCCAAGTCAGCTTCCTCATACTCTGACATTGAGGAGATTGCTACCCCCGACTCCTCAGCCCCCTCATCCCCCAAACTGCAGCATGGCTCCACTGAGACCGCCTCACCCTCCATCAAGTCCTCCACCTCATCCTCTGTGGGCATTGAGGTCACTGAGTAAGTGCTCTATCTCGGCCGTCCAGCCTGGCACCAGTGTAAATTGCTGGCCAGAGTCGGCAGTAAACTCAAAGACCCTGGACCAATACCACCTCTTTCTGGGCATGTGAAACCCACAGAGGGACCCTTTTTGTCATACTGATTGGATATCTGTGGATGGGAGGAACCAAGACTACCAACAATGCATGTCAATATCCTTTATTAACTAATGCTTCTCCAGGAGCCTGGCTGACTCTCACTCTCTTACAGGGCTCCTGCCCACTCAGTCCCTCACACTAGGCTGTTCCATGCCAATGAGGAGGAGGAGCCTGAAAAGAAGGAGGTATCTGAGCTGCGCTCTGAGCTGTGGGAAAAAGAGATGAAGCTTACAGACATTCGCTTGGAGGCTCTCAACTCTGCCCACCAGCTGGACCAGCTTCGGGAGACCATGCATAACATGCAGGTCAGTGTGGAACAGAGCGCTGAAGGAAAGGGGAGACCATGGCTTGAGACCTGTCCAACCCTGTCACCCTTCTCTGTTTCTTCTTGCTACAGTTGGAGGTGGACCTGCTGAAAGCAGAGAATGACAGGCTAAAGGTTGCCCCTGGCCCATCCTCAAGCTCCACTCCAGGGCAGGTCCCTGGATCCTCTGCTCTGTCATCTCCTCGCCGCTCTCTGGGCCTTGCACTCACCCATTCTTTCAGCCCGAGTCTCACAGACACAGGTAACTCTCTGGGAGAAGAACCTAGATGGGTGGAGAGAAGAAAGGGGCTTATTTCACTATTATACTGTTCCACGCTCCGTGGTATCTTCCTTGGGCCAGGGAGGTAGCAGTGCTGAACTCAAGCAGACATTAATGTCAAGACATGCTAAGAATTGTTATGGTTCTTTTTAAATTAGCATATGCTAATTGTTCAAATGGATTTAATTGTGGTATTTCCACACATGCGCACAATGTACCCTGACCAAATTCACCCCTCTACTACTCCTTCCATTCCCCTCTCCTCCTTTGTTATGGTTCATAAACTAAATATCTTTTCTGTTCAAGGCTCCTGTTTCTTCTTTGTCATAAATAAGGAGTAGTTATTTGGAAAGGAAAATGACTAGAGAGTTTAGGAAAGGCTGTGGGTGCCCCTAAAACCAATTACTCATTTTCAATCCCCACAGACCTATCACCCATGGATGGCATCAGCACCTGTGGTCCAAAGGAGGAAGTGACACTTCGGGTGGTAGTACGGATGCCTCCCCAGCACATCATCAAAGGGGTAAGGAACTTCAGGGGGGGACCAGCATAGGGACCAACATAATATGGATGGTCCCCAACTTTACAGTGGTTCAAAACAATGTGCCTTTAGTAGAAACCATACTTCAAATTTTGAATTTTGATCCTCTCCTGGGCTAGCAATATTCTGTATGATGACTCTCTCAGATACTGGGTGATGGCAGTGAGCCACAGCTCCCAGTTAGCCCCACAAGCATGAGAGTAAACAATGAGCACTCTACAGTGGGCTGCTTTTACTAAACTATGAATTTTCAGTAGGTTAGGTATATTAAATGCATTTTCAACTCATTATTTTCAACTTAAGAAAGGTTTATAAGACCGTAATACCATCATAAAAAGAGGAACATCTATATTGTCATTTATGCAAGAAAATTGGGGCTCTGAATACTTCCAAAACCCAACTACTCAACTCCTGAGGCCTTCAAGAATCTCCCTTTTTTGGAGTCATCTGCACTAAGGTTCACATGCTTCAACCTTGACCTTACAGGACTTGAAGCAGCAGGAATTCTTCTTGGGATGTAGCAAGATCAGTGGAAAAGTTGACTGGAAGATGCTGGATGAAGCTGTTTTCCAAGTGTTCAAGGTAAAAAGATACTTGTACTCATAAAGGTCACTCATTCTCTCATGGAATATTGAGCCATCCAGGCCCTGGCATCCTGAGGATATTTGATGCCTTATGGAGAAAGGCAAAATAGGAAAAGCATATGCCCTTCTCTTTTTCTACCTACTATTTTTCCCTCTAATATTCATTATTTCTTGTGACTTTTCCAACTGTGTTTGTGTCCTTTCAGCACTATCTTCCTCTTGTTCTCCCCATCTCTTCTTCCAGGACTATATTTCTAAAATGGATCCAGCTGCCACCCTGGGACTAAGCACTGAGTCCATCCATGGCTATAGCCTCAGCCATGTGAAACGAGTGTTGGATGCTGAGCCCCCAGAGGTGTCTCCTTGCTGCAGAGGTGTCAGTAACATATCAGTCTCCCTCAAAGGTCAGTCTTTTGTCTCTTGGGGTGAGGTGGTATGACTTGAAGGTAGTGGGAGGTCCAACAAATAACACATCATACATTCATACATTAAGAACTTACTGAGAAGCTGTAATATGAAGGTGCATAAGTAAGTGAGATATAAAAAAATGAGTAGGACCCAGTCCTGGCATTTTTGCCAAACCTGGGCTTCTCACTGTACCCACTCAGTGTATGTCCCTAAAAATGAGAGCCAAGTTTCAAAACCAGAGATGAAGAGATTCCTGTGGAACCATGATGCATCTGGCTCTGAGTGTCTTCAGCGGGCCCTTAGATAAAGAAGGCAAAGCTCTTCGGGGTCCCTTGCCATCCTCAAGGCTGTGGTCAAGACTCATGCTTTCTGGGGCGGGGTTCAGGTCTGAAGGAGAAGTGCGTCGACAGCCTGGTGTTTGAGACGCTCATCCCCAAGCCCATGATGCAACACTACATAAGCCTCCTGCTCAAGCACCGGCGCCTTGTCCTCTCGGGCCCCAGTGGCACAGGCAAGACCTACCTGACCAATCGGCTGGCCGAATACCTCGTGGAGCGCTCTGGCCGTGAAGTCACCGAGGGCATCGTCAGCACCTTCAACATGCACCAGCAGTCTTGCAAGGTGACCCGCCTCCTGAGACCCCCGCCAGTCTTTGTGCAGGTCTCAGCCTCCCCTAAGGCCTTTCCTGGGTTTTCTCCTGCCTCCTTATTCCCCTTTTCTTTTCTAAAGCTCTGCCTTCATCCCTTTCCCTTCATCAGTGTTCTTTCCCTTTCTTCCCTGACTTATCTTTTCTCATCTTCTCCCTCCCCTGCCTCATTTCTTTCCTGACTTTTGCCCTTCTTCTTCCTTTTGCTTATAATTTCCTTCTCCACACTTTCCCTTACTTCTGCTCAACAACTTTCCCTCTAGTTGATTCTGATTAACTCTACCTTCCTTTTTCCTACCTAATTCTCTGCTGACACTCACCCATCCCTTCTCTTTTATGTTCTTTCCTCTATTTTTCTTTTCAATATTACGTTCAGATCTTGGGCTCTCTCAGAAATAAATATTACATATTGTGTTCCACCCCAGTGATGTCTTTTGAACACACCCTAATACTTACAAGTTGGTTCGAGTTCGCTCTCTCCAACCTGGAGAGTTCACGGTACAGTGCAATGAAAAGCCATTTAGAGAACAGCTGTGGTCACCACCTTTGGGTGATTCAGGGCTACTGTTTAAAAGAGTTGTTTGATGAATATTTAGAAAGTGCAAGTCCCTGAGTTTAGACCCTAGCACCACCACAAAAAAAAAAAAGAGAGAGAGACAAAGACAGGGGAGGGAAGGGAAGGGAGGGGAGGGGAGGGAAGGGAAGGGGAGGGAAGAAAAGGGTTGTTTGAGATTTTCTGAGAATCAGTCTGTGGTAAATTGCTTCTATAATCAAATGTACAAGCGCATCCAACAGGAGCCAGAGGCCCCAGGGAAATGCAGAACTAGCAAACTTCTCCAAAATTCTTTCCAACACTGATCCAGGTATGATTTCTAAGTGCTGATCCACTGTCTTCTTTTATTCCAGGATTTACAACTGTATCTCTCCAACCTGGCCAACCAGATAGACCGGGAAACAGGAATTGGGGATGTGCCCTTGGTGATTCTGTTGGATGACCTAAGTGAAGCAGGCTCCATCAGTGAGCTGGTCAATGGGGCCCTCACCTGCAAGTACCACAAGTGGTAAGCTGGGGTAGGGACCACACCTGGAGCTTTCCATTGTGTGCGTATGGCAGAAAGCAAGTGTGAAGACAAATTAAGTGACTCTTTTCCCCCTTTCTTTCCACAGTCCCTATATTATAGGTACCACCAATCAGCCTGTAAAAATGACACCTAACCATGGCTTGCACTTGAGCTTCAGGTAAGAACAGTGTGGTGTGCCCCTGCCTGAACCTTCTGACCCTATCCAAGAGTCTATAAACTAGTGAAATCCCAGACTCTGCGGGCAGAGGGGCAGTAAGTAGCAGAAGGAAAGAGAAGTAGCCAGAGCCTTTCTGGCTGGGAGAGAATGCGTGTGTCTCTGCATGTCAGTTACAGGGTGGAAAGAGGACCCTTGAAGAGAGGAAAGAACTGAAGAACTAGGTGAGACCCTAGCAAACTGCTGGAATTAGGATTCTCTGCCTGTCTACCCTACCCAGATCAGTGAAGTCAGGTGGTTATTTGAAGACGGTACTGATACGAAAATCAGCTCTGCCTGCCCCAAGGCTACTGCCCTGAATTCAGTTGCCCACCCCCCCCACACATACATACAATATTACATGAGAAGAAGCCAAGTGGACATTAGTGAGGAGCAGGCAGGAGGAAGGATGGACTGACAGGAGATGAACCCTGACAGTGTCCCTGTTGCCACTTTAACCCACTCTCCCCATCTCTGGTGGCAGGATGCTGACCTTCTCCAACAATGTGGAGCCAGCCAATGGCTTCCTAGTCCGTTACCTGAGGAGGAAGTTAGTAGAGTCAGACAGCGACATCAATGCCAACAAAGAAGAGCTGCTTCGGGTGCTGGACTGGGTGCCGAAACTGTGGTATCACCTACACACCTTCCTTGAGAAGCACAGCACCTCGGACTTCCTCATCGGTACTGGGGCCCAGCCTCTTCCCAGGGACAGGAGGTGTTTTCCGTCTTGTATTGCACCACCTGGAGGGATGCTCCCTTTGCTTTCTGGAGTTGCCAGCCTGTTAAAGAAGTTGCAAGCCTTGTGGCTTCTGAGTTAGAAATACTTGAATACTTTCACGCATTTCCAATGCCGTCGGCATTGGGTTAATCACTTCAGCCATCAGAAAGCTAGCCCAGCTAGATGTGGTGGCCCACACCTGTAGTACTAACTACATGGAAGGCTAAGGGGAGAGAATTACCTGAATCCACCAGTTCAAGATCAACATAGGGAGACCCCTCCATCTCAAAAAAAAAAAGAAAGAAAGAAAGAGAAAAGAAAAGGGCTGGGGCTGTAGCTCAATGGTAGAGGGTTTGCCTACCATGTGCAAGGCACTGGTTAAAAAAGGAAAACTAACCCCTCCCTGATTTCTTCCCCACAACTCGTAGGGAAAAAGGAGGGAATTAAGAACCTTTCTCACTCCATTGTCTTCCTTCTGCCTTGTCAGCATCATGGATGCCGCGCAGGCAGCACTCATGGGTCTGGACAACTTTGCATGTCATTCCTGGTACTAAGGAGTTAAAGTAGTGCAAGACTGGAGAGATCTGGGCTTCATAGCCATCTTCATGGCTTCATCCTTTTCCCTAGGCCCTTGTTCTTTCTGTCCTGTCCCATTGGCATTGAGGACTTCCGGACCTGGTTCATTGACCTATGGAACAACTCTATCATTCCCTATCTACAGGAAGGAGCCAAAGATGGGATCAAGGTGAGCCCTACCCTCTAACTCCACTCAAGCCCAAAGATCAGGCTGTCTTATTTAGCAAAGCAGAAACAGTTCTGTAATGTTCAGCATGAGACTACTGGAATTAGTTAGGGTCACTTTCTAAAATATAAAGCAAGGCACTGGCCAGACTAAGCCACTTTCCATTCAGCAAATGACTCAATGGCTACTGCCTCCAGGGCCATCTCTCCAGTACTAGGCCTTCTAGCTAGCTCTAAGCTCAACTGAAGACACTTTGTAGGGTTCAGAGTAAACAGAAAAACAATTGAGCTAAGCATTAAGTAAAACCCTATTATACCTTAGTTATTTATCAACCACTAATAAATGTGTTACATTGATTAAATTACTTAACCTTTTTTCATTTGTATGAAAAAAGATAAATTCTGTTCAACCTAAATCACTGCATTGTTTTAAAGACAAAATGAGCTATATGAAGAGATTTTTAAAAGTTAAAAACTTTGCATAAGAGGAAGATGTCAGCTGGGTGTGGTGGTGCACACCTGTCACCCCAGCCACTCAGGAGGCTGAAGTGGGAAGATTTCTTGAGCTCATGAGTTTAAGACTAGCCAGGGCAATGCAGCAAAACTGTGTTTTAAAAAAAATAAAAGGAAGGTGTCATTTATTTATTTTTATTATTATCAAATGTGTTTTAAACTGATAATTAAATATTTTATATATAAGATATATAAATATGTAAGTATATATTTATATGTGTTCAAGTATAAATATATATTTAAGTGTGCATATATACATTTATGTATATTTAAAGGGATACATCACACATGATGTTTCAATACATATGTACATTGCTCAATGTTTAAGTCAGGTTAAACATATCTGTCTCCTCAAACATTTATCATCTCTATGGTGAAAACATTCAAAATTCTATATTACATTATTGCTACCCTACAATACATTATCATAGAGTTATATTGCCAGCCATATTTTATTATAGTCACCCTACTGTACAATAACACACCAGAATGTCTTCTAACCATAGCAAAGTACCCATTTGCCCAACCCTCGTCTTGACTGCTCTCCCCAGCCTCTGACAGCCACTGTTCTACTCTCAATTTCTATGAGGTCAACTTTAAGATTCCACAAATGAGTGAGATCATGCAGTTCTCCTCTGTGTGTGACTTATTTCACTTAACACATTGACCTCCAGTTCCATCCATGTTGTTGCAATGACAGGATTTCACTCTGTAATGAATGTGTATGAATAGTATTCCACTGTGTATATATGTTATGTTTTCTTTTTCCATTTATCAGTTGATAGACACCTAGGTTGAGTCCATCTCTTGGCTATTGTGAACAGTGCTGCAATGAACATGGGAGTACAAATATCTCTTCCACATACTGATTTCATTCCCTTTAGATATATAACTGGTAGAGGAGTTGCTGGATCATGTGACAGTCCTATTTTTCTATTTTTAATTTGCTGATGACCCTCCATACTGTTTTCCATAATGATCATACTAATTTACATTCCCACCAAGAGTGTGCAAGGTTTGCATTTTCTCTGCATCTTCATCAGACTTCATCTTTTAGTCTTTTTTATAAAAGCTATTCTTAGTGGGATGAGGTGACATCATTATGGTTTTGATTGTGTTTCCCTAATGATTTGTGATAATGAGCATTTTTCAGATTACTGTTGGCCATTTGTATTTCTTCTTTTGAAAAATGTCTATTTAGGTTTATTGTCTATTTAGTTCATTTTTTAAAGCTTCCCCAGTTTTCTTACCTGTAAATTAGAGCATAATGATCACTGCAGTCTGTTCTAGCACAAATAAACTATGAGGCAATGACTGGTCCTTATTGGTCATGTATTATCCATGAAAGTAATTTGTTACTGAGATAGCTATCTCCTGAAGACATAATAAATTTCTAGAGGTAATATCGGATCAAGGCCAGAAATCATTATTTCATTTATAAATTACAGTATTTTAAGGAAATTTTGTGTTATTAGTAAGTTTCAAGTTTGAAAGCATTTTCACACAGATAACATCTGTTTTCAAGAAAGTAAAAAAAAAGTAAAAGGTATTTTGACTAAGTAAATCCTACTGGAAAAGTAAAATTGCAGGTCATAAAATTTGTGCATGTTAAGCTTTATGTAATCTAGGTGTCCGTCATGGATGAATGGATAAAGAAAATGTGGTATTACGTGTGCACCCAATCCAATACCATTCATCCTTAAAAAAAAAAAAAAAGAAGGAAAGTCTGTCACTTCCAACAATGTGGATGAACCTGGGGGACATTGGTTTAAGTGAAATAAGACAGAGACAGACAAGCAAATAACACATGACCTCAATTATACGTGGAATCTGAAAAAAATCAAACTCAGAACCAGAATAAAAAGATGGTTACCAAGGGCTGGAGAGGTGAAGTTTGAGTAGTTGTTGACCAAAGAATACAAAATTTCAGTTAAGAGGAATAAGTTCAAGAGATACTGGTGATAATTATAGTTGATAGCAATGTATTCTATTCTTAAAAAGAGAATAGAGTCAAATGTTCTCATCACAAAAATTAACTGTGTGACCTCACATGCTTTTGCTAATTGGTTCAATTTAACCATTCCACAATTTATGTACATTTCAAAACACCATATTGTGCATCATAAATGTATATAATTTTTGTCAGTTAAAAAAAATAATTTTGACCAGGTATGGTGGTACACACTTGTAACTCCAGCACTCAGAATGGTAAGGCAGGGGCATCAGCCTGAGCTAGATGATAAGTTCAAGACCAACTTGGGCTAAGTAGCAAGACCCTATCACCAAAAAAAAAAAAAAATTTTTTTAAAAGAAGTATTTTTAATTTTAATACAGTTTGTTAAATTATCTTCCAAAATGACTTTTCCAGTTTATACCAACTTACTTTCCTTGTTGAAAATTTCACAGAGATGAGAGCCGCAAGTCTTTAAAGTTGAGGAAGTGCATATTTCCAGGGAACAAGTTTTTTGGGGGGAACTGTAAGAGTCACATAATTAGGCCTCTAATCTGAGGTTCCCCCTCCCATTAATCACACTTGTCCTTCTCTCCAGGTCCATGGACAGAAAGCCGCTTGGGAGGACCCAGTGGAGTGGGTCCGGGACAGTCTTCCCTGGCCATCAGCCCAACAAGACCAATCAAAGCTGTACCACCTGCCCCCGCCCACTGTGGGTCCTCACAGCATTGCCTCCCCTCCAGAGGATAGGACAGTCAAAGACAGCACCCCAAATTCTCTGGACTCAGACCCTCTGGTGAGTAAAAGCCAGTCTAAGGTAAAAAGCAAAGTATTACAGAACTGAATTTTTCACATTCATCATGTATACTCTAATGGAGTCTAGGACCTGAAGAGTTTCAGCAAAGTCAAGACCAGAAAGAAACCAGTGAAAAATTCTGACTATAAGGGTCTTGGCTTATAAGGATTATATGCCTGAAATCTAGCTTAGGCTGAGTAATAACGCATACCAGCAAGGTGTAGTCTAGCAAAACCCAAGTCTCACTGAGCAGATCACATGTAGGAATATCAACCCAAGAAATAGAGCAACAGGACACAGTAGCACTTTCTCTACCTCTGCCTCTCCTCTGATAGTGTCCTGAAAGACTGCTTCCACTAAGTGGAGTCTGTGGAACCCATGTAGAAAGCAGGTTGAGGCAAGTGACAAACGAGGAAAAAATATTTGCAATGGATGTAGCCAAAGGAAGATTTGAGATCTAGAATATATGAAGTTCAAAAAATCTTTTAAATAGAAAAATGGGCAAAGGATATGAAGAGGCATTTGACTAGAGGAAATGCAAATGGCCAATAAAAACAAAGATCCCCAACCTCTAATAATGAAGAATGCAAATTAAAACAAGAAGATACTTTCACATTGGTAAAAATAGTGTATGTGGGAGCTTAGACTTTTCATAGTCTGCTTGTATGTGGGAGCATTTGGGAGACTGATTTAGCAGATTGCACTGAAACTTCATATGCACAAATCCTATGACTGTAATTTTGCTTCAAGTAGGAAACTCTTTCAGTTCCTTCAAATTCTTTGAATTGAGTCATTATATATTTTTAAATTTTGACTTTGTTGGAAACAAGATGTTATCTGTGTCAAAATACTTTTAAATTGGAAGACTAATAATAATGCAGGGACGTGACTCAAGCAGTCAAGTGCCTGCCTAGCAAGCACAAGACCCTAAATTCAAATCCCAGTACTGCTAAAAACAAAAATAGACAGAAGAGAAGTGGTGTCAGACTCAATAGAATTAGCCAGGCTTATTTAGCTAAAGTGGAGGGTTCCAAGCTTGAAGTACAAGGGGAAAAATAGGTAAAGGGAAGGGGGTGAATACACTGAGGTGACTAGAGTTGACATGGGGTTTGTAAGCTGGGGAAAAACAGGTTGGGATGTAATCTATTGGAAGCCGAAAATCACTAGTCAGCAGAATTCTTATGATGCTTCTCCCATTCCTCTCAGTATTAGCTGGTGTGTACTGGTCTCTACCCTACCCTGGAGTGAAAGCACCTTGCAGCAGAGGTGGTCTTGTTCTTTTTGGTGTCCCACACACATATCACACACAGCACTTTGGATTGCAAATACCCCCAGTGACTGTTTTCAAGTGTGTGTTTACAAATAGGGTTGAAACAATTTGTCACTGCTTTTTCATGAACCACTTCTAAACTCCAAACTTTTTTTTTTTTTGGCAGTACTGGGGCTTGAACTCAGGGTCTACACTTTAAGCCACTCCACCAGCCTTACTTTTGTGACGGGTTTTTTTCAAGATAGGGTCTCATGAACTAGTGAACTCTTTGCCCAGGTTGGCTTCAAACTGCAATCCTCCTGATCTCTACCTCCTGAGTAGCTAGGATTACAGGCGTGAGCCACCGGGACCCCGTTAAACTCCAAACTTCTAAGCATTAAAACCAAGGATTAGACCCATGATCTAAGTTTCTTTTGTTTCCCTTCTATGGGCAGGACCCAGCATCCCAACTCTCATTAACCCATCTCTTTGCTCCCCTTTAGATGGCCATGCTGCTGAAACTGCAAGAAGCTGCCAACTATATCGAGTCTCCAGATCGAGAAACCATCCTGGACCCCAACCTCCAGGCAACGCTCTGAGAGTCCAGCCGTCCCTGTCACCCCAGACAGCAGAAGGCTGACGTCAGCTTTATTAGCCCCTCCTCTCCCCTCTTCTTTCAGAGCACTGGCTCTCCAGCCCCTGGAGGAGAGCAGGAGGGAGGAGGAGGGCAGGAAGAGGGGCAGGTTCTTGGTGCTGCACCTTTGAGAACTTCCTAGTAGGGATTGGTGGGGTGGAGTTTGGGAACTTATGTCCCCTAAATACATTTACTGGCCTCCTCTCACGACTTTGGGGAAAAGATGATTCCGGGTCTTTTCCTTGATTTCTTGTTTCAACTTACAAACTCCTGGGCTTTCTGGGGAGGGGTTCAGAAGACTTCAAAAACTCTGAAACAGTTCCTAACCGATTCTCATGAGCAACTCTGAGACAGTCATATGTGGGGAAATCTGAGGGAGGCAGGAAGCTCTGCAGACTCTCTTGCAGACCCTTCCCAAGTCTGTCAACACTGCCAACAATCTTCCCCCAGAGATCTGGCTGCACCCCAGAAAAGAAGCATGTGGTTTAAAAATGTGTAAATGAACCTGTAAAAGGTAAAAGCAATGGAAAAGATGAAGCTGGAGAGAGGGGACCCAGTTGCCAAGATATACAAAGAAAGCTGCCAGCTCTTGCCTTCTGGATGACATAGGGGACATTGACAAGATAACTGCCAATCTAAGTAATGTCACCAAACCACAAAAGTAACATTACAGCCTTCAGAGAAAGACTACTAGCTTTGTCTTTCTACCATCTTAATTTAACATGCATGAGAGTCAATAAACCCTACTTTTTAATTTTTTTTATTTTCTATTTTTTTTCCTACCATTTGCCTATTTATTTTCCTCTTCTCCCTTTTCCCCCCTCCCCACCGTTTCCTCATTTGTCCATGAGATACTAGGGTTGCTTTTTAGGGCCTAGTTTGGCTTTTCCAGGTGGGTTTTCTTTGAAGAATCTAATACCATCTAATTGGTACCTGCCATGCCACTATCTTTGGCATCCGTAGGGCCTTTAGGAGATAAGAAACATTGGTTCACAAGTAGTGGGAGAAAGGAACCCAGTTCCCTTGATATCCCCTTTGAGAAAGCACATGTTCTACCTGGGAGTTGCCAAATGCCTTGGCATGACAGAAGATCTACTCTGAGCTTCATCGAGGACTGGAGGAAAACCAGGAAATTGGAAATACTTCTCTGTCTTTTGGCCTGTTTGGCCCCCTCACTGCACTATTTGGATGGTAGCCACTTTGCCTGATTGAATCAAAATTCCCTATCCAGCCCCTACTATTTATTTTTGACATGTGAATACTTATTAAAAAAAAAACTGGACATCCACATGACATGCTCTAAATCAGAATATAAGACTTGAGGAGTTTGATTTGGTGGTCAATTATCTGCCTTCCAAAGAGGTCCCACCTCTTGCAGAAGTTGCTCTTCTCCTGATGACCTGTCCATGTTCCTTCATTTGACAAGTACTTACTGAGTACTAACTGTGTACCAGTCTCTAGGTTTAAAAAAAAAAAAAAAGACAAAACTTGGACCCTTAAGTTCATAGTCTAGTAGGAAATGTTAATCTCCATTTAGAGCACATCCCTTCTTATCTGAACCTCTAGGATAATCCAAAAAATGTAACTGAAACCCCAAGGAGTCAGCTAAAAAGAAGCCTTTGATTAGATGTCCAATACATTGGGAGCAGAAGATCTGGGATCAACTTCAATGGAGCCTGAAGGACTATGGAATCTTGCTTGTCTTGAGTGGGCAAGTCTACTTCCTGCCATTTCTGGAAGTCCTGTGGGACCAAATTCCAGGCTGAGCTGTCTGGTGGGCACATTTCAGGGCTGTGTGGATCAGGGATATGTGATTAGTCTGGGCCTAAGTGTTTGCACTTCAGATTCCTAAGTAGCACAAGGCTTGCTCAGAATCTATAGGCATACTAACCTGGATCGCTGTTCTGCCAACCGAGGAGTACATGCCTCTGAATCTTCATATCAATATGTTTTCATTTAGGCCCACAAGATGGTCTAGATTGACCTCCCCCAAAAAAATCTTTTATATTCACCTGGTAGCTCCCAGGGATGACAGGGTCCTCTGTGTGCTGGAGACAATTATTGCTATTGCTGCTAATTCCATGAGCTGTGAAGACCCCCCAACCAACTCAGCTGTAAAATATGCAATTCTGTGGTGGGAAGAGGCTGTTTGTTCAAGGATGGTGCTGAAATCACTGCCTTAAGGTCTCTGCTGTGCAGAATGAGGAGGCCCAGAGCTGGCTGCTCCAACTCCAAAGGAAGGAAAGACTGGAATTAGGCCTCTTCTGAACCCTATCCTAAGCTCCAGTCCCATGGCAAGGCTCAGACTTTTAATGCCACCTTAATCTGATGGTTGAGCCCTTAATTCTTATTTTCTGGTGCTGCCCAGCCAGTGCCTTCTGACATGGATGTTACTGGCTGAGATAAAGGAGAGGGGAGAGCCCCTTCTTCCATTCCAACTGCCTCGGACCGCAGAGGGATTTTTGTCTCTCTGGTAACCATGGATACCACCATGAATTTTGTTTGCATCCTCAGCAGGTTGATTCTGGAAGCCTTCTCATGCTAGGACTTTTCATTTCTATTACTGGGATCTACCACTCTACTCTCAGTTGACTGCTGCATTTAACCCAGGTCTCTAATTGCTTTCTTCCAGAAAGTATGTTCCCATCTACCGAAGTGGTATTAAAGTCTCAGCTTTCCCCCTGGAGCCTGGACTCTGTTTACAGTAGCACATCTGGGCCCCTCACTGTGGGCAGCAATCATCTCACAAGGGGATTATGGGTATGTGGCAACTGCAGAAGGTTGAGCCTCCTCATGGTGCTATAACCCCTTGGGACGCTCATCCAAGACTTCTCTGAAGCGGAAAACCTGAGCTCCCCCCTTCACTGCCCTAGAATTCATGGCAATGAGCAAATCTACAGCATTCTCTCCTACCTTTGTACCTGCTTCTCGGTTGAGACTACCGGAATCCCTCAGAAAAGAAAAGCTGGGTCCCATAGCTAACTTCTCAACCTCCAGTCACTTTCAGAAGAATCCACCCTATCTAATTCTGAGATTTGTGCTATCCCCTTCCTCTCTAGCCCTCCTGCACCCTGACTCCATCCCTCACCAAAGTTGGCTAGCAAAAAAAAAAAAAAAAAAGGTTCAATACTCAACATCAACCTATGGGGAGAGCCACACCGCCAGGAGAGACTCCTCAGCAGAGTCCCTCATTTCCAGATGAAGACCAACAAGATATGTACAATTTATTTGTTTCTCAGTCCCTGCCTAGGCACTAAAATAAAATACTAGGTCATTGGAGGCTAATATGGGACCTGATGTCTCTTTTGTGTGTGTGTGCACGTTTCTTTCTCTCGTATACACACAAAGAACAGTTTGCTATTGCTGTTTCCTATCTTCTGAGGCTTCATAGAATATTTCTTGAAAAATCTATGCTTTGTGGCAACTCTACGGTGCTTATCTGTCTTTGTGTAAATCCCTAATACCAGTGTGTTTCATGTAATCTAACCATTGGGAAGGTAGAGGCTGGCAGGGAAGAAGAATTGGCTTTTAAAAAGTCCATGCAGAGACTCTACAGTCAAGACCTTATTGGTTGTATACTACATGTTGGTCTTGAATTCCCTACCTTCCAGCTAATCTCTCCATATGCAAGGACTTAAAACAAAAATTTTTTTTCTTTTCATTTCTTGCCTTCTGCTTTTTCTGGCTTACAAGAGTTTGAGTGGATATAATCTGGCCACCTGTTCACTTTTAGCTACCTGTGACAAGAGTCACACTTTTCAGAGGGATACTTCTTTCCATTGATGTAAGAAGTAACTCCATTTTCTGTCGTATTCCAAAAGAGTAGGGAGACAGTAACCTGCTGCTTCTCACAGACATCTCCCATCAGCACCTGGGATGGCACCCATACACAGCAACCCAACATGTAGATGAAATTTGCCTGATCGAAAGGGACTCAGTCCTACAAAGCAGGTTCAAAGAGATATTTACACAAGACCTTAAGGACTCCTTATTACAAGGTGTTCAGGAGGGAACTTGTGCTAATCCCACATTTAACACAGAGTTTAATGTCAAAGTAAAGACCATCCATTGTAATTCCCCATCACACTTTATCCTTTCTTTCCTTAATTCTGGGCATTCACTAAACCAGAGTTAATGAATAGACTCCATAACCCAACCCCCCATGAAAGGATGAAAAGTATGCTTTTCCAGAAGCTTTACTCATGGAGATGGATATACTACAGTAATGCTGGTACACTCTTATATGACTGTGAGAACTACTCAGGAGTTCTAGTTTCATGGTCCCATTGAGGAGACCATTGATAAGAAGATGGTCTCAGGGCACTCTGTTCCCAAAAGGCCAAAGCCTGAAGATATTGTCCTTTATAATTGAATCAATCTTATATATGCATGAGTCCTCAATCAACCTACTTGAGGATACACGAAGCCACAATCTTGATTTTTCTACTGCTTGGTGTGCTTTTGTGCACCTCTGTTCAGCCTATCCCTGGAAGCAAGTTCTGCTGGCCATAGACCTAGGGAAGCCAGAGTAACACAAAAGGTGGTATAGCCTTAAAGTAAAGCAACCAACAGAACTTTGGTAGCTACAGGGAGACCATGACAGTTAAAAATTAAACTTTTTTTACACTGAATTTTTCCACTTTGATATTTTGGGCATTTTTCTTAATAATTATGCCATGGAGAATTTTTTGTGCCAAAGGCGATCATGAAAACTGAATACCTGGTTCCTTGATTCAACCTTTCACTCTTTAAAGTGATGATTCTCAAAGAATGTTTCCAAACCAGCAGCAGCAGCATCTGGGAACTTGTTAGAAATAAAGTTCTGGACTGGAGACGTGGCTCAAGCCATAGAGCACCTGCTTTGCAAGCGCAAAGCCCTGAATTCAAACTCTAGTCCACCAAAAAAAAAAAAAGGTAGAAATAAAATTCTCAAGGCATGGTAGTACATGCCTATAATCACCCCAGCACTCAGGAGGCTGAGGCAGGAGAATTGTGAGCTTAGGTTATATAATGATCCCTATCTCAAAAATATATATAAATAAGCAAATACAAATAGAAATGAAATTCTTAGGCCCCACCCAATATCTCACAAGTCACAAACTATAGCTGTAAGGCTCAGCAATCTTTTGACAAACATTCCCAATTTATCTGATGTTCACCCAAGTTTGAGATTCCACTGGTTTAAAGCAAAAGCCAAGTACCTGAGTCCTCACTCCGAGGCACATTAGGACCCAAAATAAAAGGTCCTAGGTTATAATCCAAGTATTAACATTAATTTCAGAGTCACTTTTCTCATACTTCCTTAGGTATTTGCTTTCCTTACTTTTAATTTAACAAAGGAAATATGTGCTTCAGGGCAGAATTCAGGGTAGTGCTTACATCAGAGAAAAATCTTGGGCCTCTGAAATTTCTACCTGGCCAAACAAAGGGGCTTCTACAGAGGAAAAAGGTTGAAGGTCTTGTCCAGAGTGCTCTTCTGCTAGTTGATTTGTGTCTATTCAGAGCCTTTTTCTGATTATG